CTATCTATCTATCTATCTACCTACCTATCCATCTATCTACCTACCTACCTATCCATCTATCCATCTATCTATCTATCTATCCATCTATCCATCTATCTATCTATCCATCCCATCCATCTATCCATCCATCCATCTATCTACCTACCTACCTATCCATCTATCCATCTATCTATCTATCTATCCATCTATCCATCTATCTATCTATCCATCTATCTATCTATCCATCTATCTATCTATCTATTCATCTATCCATCTATCTATCTATCTATCCATCTATCTATCCATCTATCTATCTATCTATCCATCTATTCATCTATCCATCTATCTATCTATCTATCCATCTATCTATCTATCCATCTATCCATCTATCTATCTATCCAGTTTCAACTCAAACTCCACTGGGAATGGAGCTCTACATTAAATCACCAACCCCCCAACAGCACTGATTGAAAGGCAGCATGCGTCCTGCAGGGAGCTTTAATATGATGCTATGTTTATGTAGTCTGCATGCTCTCTCTCAGGTGAGGCATGGAGAGCATCAGGTAGACCAGCTGAGCACGCTGATTTACATTTGGGTAACACAGGAATAGCTTCTGCAGTTGAGTTTATATGCAAATAAATGAGAAAATAGAGTACGGTCTCATGCAATGGCGTGTGCAGGCGACTTTAAACAATTTCATTAAGAATTAAGAAGAACAATTTTATGATATATCTGCAATTATATGGATTTTTAAACATATTTGAACACATATTGGTGTCTGTAACTTCTTAATTTGAGAGTGATTCGTGTTTTACGACTGTCCCTACTAATTGCACCATACAGTATTTGATTGAATTCATGTTCCTTTAAAAAATATATTGTTTCATTTATTGTATTATTTAAATCATTCAATTATGGTTCAGTATTTTTATTACATCACATGACATGTCACTTGTTAGACACTTTTATCCAAAGCAACTTACATACTCAATACTGTGGGCAATCCCCACAGGAGCACTTTGGGGTGAAGTGTCTCAGGGACACAACGACATGCTGACTGCAGTGGGGTTTGAACCTGTGACCCCTGATCCCAACACCAACGCACAACCCACTGCCCCACAGCCTCCCATATTATTATATTTATTATTTTGTACTTATTCATTTTGTTGTAGCTGTTGTTAATTTGTGGATTAAAACAAAAATAAATATATTTGTTTACCTCTTGCCTATTTTACTCCCTTATACTCCATGGTACCATATACAGTATATCATATATACTACTCATACTATAATATAACATGTTTGACCTAAATCGAATTCCTTGTTTTTCTTTTTATCTGTAGTGTGCCATAAAGCACGTTTAGCTTCATCCTATCAAATACAAACCTTTATTAATATTAGTATTGCTTTTAGGAAGCCACTCTGAAGTCACCACACAATGCAGGATAGGAATTTCTCAGATAACCGTGTTATTAAATTCCTTTTGAAGCCGTTTCTGCTCACAGTGACGAGAGCAGACACCAAAGACTGATTTTAAATTCATCCGAGGATCAGAACGAGTGGAAATCACCCCGGGGACGTGAGGAGAGCTGCTCTGTGTAGAGGATTATTCATGTCTCATAATGAAGACAACACTTAATCATTCTCTGTCAACTCGCCTGTTTAATATTGTGCGGAAGACCTTGTGTTGTTGTAACGCCCAACGAGGCGTCCGTCCCCTCGAGGGTTCGGCTCATCAATACATGTGAAAGATGACACCTGGTTATCTGCAGCTTGTAGCTCAGCGGGTGTTTTCCAGGGAAAGGGCAACATGTGTCTCACGTGCAGAGGCATCTTCATCATCTCACTTCAAAAGGGCATTGATGAGATGATTACGCTGAATAAACGGGGGATAATAAACCAGATGTGTATCGGCGGCGCTTAATCCGCTGAGGAACTTTAAATATGTGAGTTTAACGCTCCCGTCTGATACATACTTGTCAACCCTCCCGATTTTCGCGGGACACTCCCGATTTCATTGCCCTCTCCCGGTTTCCTCCCGGGGTCATATTTCTCCCGATTTCTGACAAAATCAGATTTACTCAGGACAGTTTCCACTCGGACTTTAATTTGTACCATTGTTTGGTTTCCATGGTAACACGTTTCTTTAGTAGCGCGCGCAACTGAAAGTCGACAACTACTCTACTCTCTGCTCACTCCTTTCCTGCCCACATATATGCTCCATCAAGGATGGTGCTACATGCTGCACTTAGAACTACAATAAGCATGTTAATGTTAATCTAACAGCTCCGGCGATAAGAATAGAACCCCGCCCCCCCGCCCCCCTTTTTGCATTTTGAAATGCTCCCGATTTCGCGCAGATAAACACACGCTGCCACGCTGAGATAAAGGACAGCCGTATAAAAAGTGTTATCATCTGCAGGAAGAAAGGTTAAGAGAGGATAACTCACTTGATTCACGCTGCCTTTTTCTGTCAGAACAGACGATATGAAAAGGCCCAGGACAGAGCTGGTGTTTCCCAGAGAAGACTGCCAAGGCACAC